ATATGACTAATTTCATTCAAAAGTATAGGATTCATCGCTATTTACAGTGTTTTCGGCTGATACAATATGTTCACGAAGATGGCACATGAAGCATTCATGAAGATAAAACAGGTTAGGCGTAGATCTTGGGGGGGGGGCTACCATATATATATATATATGTAATTATATGTACTCCCTAAACCCGAAACCCTGCTGAGGTCTCTGCCACCGCCCTCGGAGCTCTCCCCCGCTTTCGCCACTTTCCTGGGCGTCTGACGTCGTCTGAAAACTTGCGTTGGCTCTCAACAGCGACAAAAATAACATAGTAGTAATAATAGTGATATTTTTAATGAGTAATACGAGTAATAATAACCATAATAGTAATAGTTTCTCGGAATCTTGCCCTACCCTCCTTTGTCCCGTCAACGATTCTGCCGTGGTGTACTCAAACTTGCACGGAGCAAGACCAGCCTGAGAGGAGACAACTCGCAGGCGGGCGGGATCCACATACATGGCCGCTCTGATCTCCTGGCGCCAGGAGGACGTCCGCTTAGACTTGCCTGCCCTCACTTATGCTGACCGCCCGGCTCCGTCTCCAAGAGCTCCCGCTGAGCGGAACGGCGCCAGGACTGCAACCGTCGCTTGCTAGATCCAGGATGCCTGAGACAAAAAGGCCCCAAAACACCCAAGCCTTGCTAGAACCTCGCATCTGCAATCTGGTTAAGGCGGCGTCAGCATTGCCAGCGCTGCCGCAAGCACTGCACCTTCCATGTCCCTGCACAGGGGCGGAATTTGACACCTAAACAAACAATTGCTGAGAGTAGCCTGCCCTCATCTTTCACAAATTGCTGGGACTGGCAAAGAACTCTCTTACGCCCCCCCATGTAATGCGAACAATTCACGCGGTCAGGGATGAGAGCATGCGCACAACTATCACCTCACAGGTTGGAAAGCCGCTCAACAAGCCGCCTTGCCATACTTCCGAATGCAGCAATGGCAAAGCTGGAAGGCATTCAAGTCGTGGCCACAGTGCCCAGGCCTGGGAAGTCTGCGGGAAGGCCGCGCTGGCCCGCTTGTCCCTGCCAAGGTGCAGGGCTGGGCTCATTCACAAATGTCAGGCATTTTGGAGCCACTCGCGCGCACAAATGATTTCACTTGGTCAACACTGTGATTCAAGACATATCCTGCCATCCGGGCCTACATATCCGCGGCACGTCGAGGAACAGCTGGTCCCGGAATCCACGGCCGAGAGAAAGCAGACGTGGTCGCACATTGCAGCAAAGTGAGAACGCTGTATCTTGGCAAACTGACTTTCCGTCTGTTTTGCGTCCTGTCACGACATCACGATATCCAGCTCTCCCACCATCTTCCACTGGCTTGTGTTGACAGACTAGGCATGAGGAGAATCGACCTCCTAAAGCTCAAGCGGCAGCTGCGAAGCGGAAAGCGAAACAAAGCTTGACTTACACAATCTATCTGAATCTGCCCGACGCCCTTGCCAAATGTTTTTAGCTTGGATGCGACTTTGCGAATGAGGCCGCTCATGCGAGCTTTCCGGGAGATGGTGAAGAATCTGCCATGTTCTGGGTGGCTCTTAGTGGTAGTATGCAACCTTTCGTGTCCTGGAATGTCATGGATTTGGCAAGTCAAGCCCCTCCAAGACTGACATTCCAAGACTGACGCTGGTGGATCTTAGGGGATGAAAAGATGCAGTGACAGCAATTCATCTCCCTACTTGCGCGGTATTTGGCTGCTCAGGCTAACCAAAGGACAAGGAACGGCTGTAATTAGAGCCTGAAGTCTGGGAGTGACGAGTCCCGAAGACTCGTTATCTATGACAACTGCCTGAATCAAGTTGACATGAGTTTTGTCACAATGCAGGAGCCTATACAGACGCATCTTGGCTGAACACATTGTAGTGGCATCCAATCTCATCTCAAAATTGCTCGAATTCTCGCAGGGCGGGGGCAAATGATGTTGCCCTCACCTCTGTCTGTAGGGTGCTGTGCTTCTCCCCTCCAAAGCTCTAAGCATCTTCGCGCAGGCTTCGGAGCTGTTTGGGAGACGAACAACGCACTGTAGCAGACCAGCAATGCCGAAAACCACATCCTGACCTGTGCCTGGAAAGCCCCCCCTTGGAGCGAGCTCCATCGCACTTCTGGCCACGGCGGGATCTCAGCATTCGATCAGCGAACAATAAAGCTCACCACAGACAAAGGTGGGCCAAAAGAAAACTATACATTGGTAAATAATACCTGCTGCTCAAGTCTGCCAATTCTGCTTCTGCTTCTGACCCATCGCCTCTATACAAAGTGCCGTTGTTGGATGTGGATGTTGTGGCTGTTGTTGCTGTGCCTGAGGAGGTTTCCAGCCCTGAAGAAGTGCTTGCCGAAACGTCCAGCGTTGTTGAAGAGCTGCTTGCAGAATTTTCAAGCGTCGTCGAGGTCATGCTTTCAGTGCTTGTGTAAGTGGCAGCAAATCCAGCTGTCCGGAGTTTGCACTCACCCATGTGACATTGTTCGATAACTCCAAACTGTTCTGCGTTCCCAAAGTTGAGAGAGTCTCGGATAGTGAAGTAAAACCTGAAGTTCATGATACAGCATGCACAATTCTGGTGCTTCTTCGGCAGCTCTACCCTTCAAACAGTTCGCAAGACCTAAAAGACCAAGGTGCACATGATCCGGAGGCCTCTGGCCTGGAATGCTACCGTCCCATCGGAGAAAGCTGTCGTAGTACTTTTCTAAACTCTCCTGACAAGGCAGTTGAAGCTGCTGCAGGCAATGTGACTATCTGTGAGTCTGGCCGAGCATTGAGAGAGTTAAAATTGGCCATCCCGAAAGCTTCTGCTTCCCAGAAATTCCTAAGAATGCCTGTTTCCAAATTTTACTAGAAATGGATTTCCATCAAGCCATGAGGTCTGGTGCTGCCCAGTTCTTGCAGTATTTCATCTCTGACGAAACGCTGCCCTTGGAAGACCAGCCCGTCTCACCTATCCAGAATATGCTGTCGGACTTCCCAGTCAGATCAGCCATCTTTCGCCGCATGTATGCCATGGACTTGGGGGCATCACAGGTAATATCGAAGCAAAGCGAGCGGTTCCGAGCAAACTCGCACTCGTCGGTCGTGCCAGCGTCTAGGCGCTCATTGGGATCAAAATACGGGTATGTTGTCCAGGTGAACGCGTATCGGTCTCCAAACTTGGCCGTGGCGTTGACGAAGAACGAGTTCACACGAGCCTCAAGCGACAAGTGCGCGGGCTGAATGCTAAGGGTTGCTTGGAGAACTGGACCGCGCCCCAGCTTATCAAATTATGCCCCAGTGGCTTTGCCCTCCTGCTCGAAGAAAGGGTGAGTTGAGTTGCCAGCCAAAGCCAGGCCACCAAAGACGGAGGTCACCTTAAATCAAGAGCAGGGCCTCATTGGATGATCAAGGAAGCACTGGCTGCTGAAGGGAGCCTACACCAGCTTCATGTACTTTAGTGCTGCCAAACAACATTTATCAGGCGCTTATCCCTGCCAAGTTGCTGGAATGTGTCCGTACCCCAAGGAGTCAAACTCATCTATGATTCCTCAGCCATTAATCAACCTCTGCAGCTACTTGTTTGCTTTTTACAGCTCGAATGAGAGGGTGCAATCGTCTGGCTGCCCGATGACGTTCCTTCAGCCAGAAAGCATGAAGCCGAGGTACTGGTGAAAATGTCCCAGAAGCCTCCACGCTCCCAGAGCGTATCAATACCTTGTCTTCTCATTGCGCACACATGCCACTTGTCTGATCCGGAATGTTGACGTGCAGGCTCAAATAGCGACCGCATGCGACCAACGTAGATAGTTCAAACAAGGATATGAAAATGGCTCCCGCCATGGAAATAAGGGCAACCACTGAAATAAGCACTGCGGCGAGAAGAAAGGCATACTTATGGCAAACATCGCAATAATCAAAGTGCCAAACTCCCGGAAACAACAGCAGTCGTGACAATTTCGCATATACTCTGCTCGGCATTGGTAGCGATGCTATTTCAATGTAGTTGTCGCCAAGTAAACGATACAATAAGGCAGACCTTGCGCGCAGGTGGGACGAAAGCTTATCAGACAAACAATGCAGGCAGGTGCAGAACAGGTAAATCCCAAAGCTACAAGATGCCTGGTCTAGGAAGATGCCTTCGAAACTAAAGATGCATTTGCAGCCTTCGCAAATTCACAAAGTGCTGCTATCAAGTGCGGTCCAGAAGAATACGCAGGAGGAAGAGAGGAGGGATCGTAATCGTAGTCGTCATTGTAGTAGGTGCTGGCAGTGACAGTAGAAAGGGCAGCAGTGGCAGTAGTAGTAGCAGGTAGTAGCAGCAGGAGCAGGAGGAGGAGCAGGAACAGCAGTAGCATAATGAGATATAATGAGTGGAAGTAGGAGTAGGAGGTGTCTCGTAGGAGTAGCAACAGCGACAGCGGCAGCGGCGGCAGCAGAATCAACAGCAGCTATTGTGGTAGCACATGCCCATATGTGCAACGACAATCATGTCTGTGGGCTCGTAGACTATTCCCTACACCTGCTGTTGTCAAGTCCGCTAAGATCTGCCAGCAAACATTCTTGATCCACAGTGTCTGAGAAGGCAAACTTGGTGAACAGGAGTTCCAGCTCATTGCCTGGCAGGGCCATCACACTACGACGTGGACCTTGCCTCAATGAATATAGTAGTTTCCATTCTCTTTTCCATTATCCCTAGATATATCCCCTAAATATACCCCTATATAACCCCTTCTCCAGCCTGGCCTATTGCCAAGCCCATGATACGCTCTGGCCCCAAAACCTGCCAGGTCGCACGCTCACGCAGGCCGCTCGGCTGCAAAATCTATTAGGGGTTATATTAGGGGTAAAATGGGATAATCGAAAACAACATGGAAACTACTAAAATATATATTGGGTTATATTAGGGTTATATTGGGGTATATTGGGAAAATGGAAAATACAATGGAAACTACTACAATGGGGTTATATAGGGTTTTTCAGGTTGCATGCCGCTCTGCTCTTCGGAATCAGACAACAACCCACTTCCACGGCCTCTATTAATCCCTTTGTCCACTGCCAACTCTGCTCGTCATCTGCTGGTACACAGCTGATTGAGGTGCCCATCAGCACCTTTGCTCCTGCATTGGTGGAAGTACATGCTGAGAATACTGTCAATGAAGTGTCTTTAGAACGCCCCTCCTGTCTGATCCACATAGGCCTTCAAGTTGCGCCACGCAAGTTCCCGATCATCTTGCCACGAGGGATCCCATGCCTGGAGCTGAAACGCCATGCTTTCGCAAAGATTGGCTATCAACAAGGCAAGAGCGGACGTCCAGCTGTCCAGCCTTGAACAACCGAAGTGCACTGACTGTTGCATCCGCATTCGGCCAGGTTGCAGGAATGGAGCCTGAGCACCTGATTGCAAGCGCTTGATCTTGGCGACGCATCACCCACGTCTTACTCCAGCTTGGAATTGATGCCCCAGATATCTGCAACAAAAGAAGCCTGGAAACAACGCAAAGCGCGCGCCGGGTCAGACGGGATTCCGGTGGTGCTCCCCCAACAGGACGCGGGAACATGAAAGAACTAACCCCAAGCTCAAGGCGTAAGAGGCCCCTGTTCTGTAATGATGTGGCAACAGGCAGTGCATTTTGGCAACCATATCAGAGTAAAATGAACTCCATGTCAGCAGCTTGGTCAAGGTGCGCTTGACGCTGTGCCATGCTGCAGCAAAAACGAGCCGCATGATTAACAGCGGGTTAACTTTGTTTTGTCTTACAGTGTGGCAGTGAGCAACGCATGTGGCGGAGCCATGCTACAGCAAAAAAAGAGCCTCAGCTCTATAGCTTTCAAACTTTCCTGCATTTCGATCAAATGCGAGCCCCGCTCCAAACTGCTTGCCACCCTCCATGGGAGTATCACGACTTTTAACGGTGCGGCAACATGTTGAACAGCTTACTGCCAAGGAAAGCTCTGCTGGTCAGTTCTAAAAATGTGGCGACAAGCCTGTTGCTCAATGTTTGGATCCCTGTTCATGTAGCAAAGCCTCGACGCTAGACGGCGACTGGTTAGATCGCAAACGATCCGACACCGAGAGCGATGCCAGACTAAAAACGAGTCCCATGTCCAACAGCCTTCTAACAAGGATCAAAGACGAGCCCCACGCTGAATAGTTTGCTTATCTCCTTGGTGGTTATCGCTTCTAACAGTGTGGCAACGCGTCGACAGCATACTAGCCTTGTGGGCCGATAACCTGCACTTAAATGCTGAGATTCTTGTTCATGTAGCAGAGTGACATCACGTAAAGCTATGTTGGGTCAAGAACGAACGAGCCCCACGCCGAGAGTCATGTCAGACCAGAGACAAGTCCCGCGTCTAACAGCCCAATACGCAAAGCCATGTTGGGTCAAAAAACGAGACGAGCCCCATGCCGAACAGCTCGCTAACCTCCCTGCAAGTTACTTCTCACAGTGTGGCAACAGGCCGAACAGGTTACTGACCCGGGGAAGCCGTGCCGGTTAGCTGAAACAGTGTGGCAAAAAGCAAGGCATTCCGCGCAGCCATGCCAAAAAGGAGCCTCGTGTGTAACAGCTTTCGAACATCTAATGCTCGGCCCTCCGGCTAGCATTATGAGCATCATCGGGACACCGCTTTATGCCTGGCAGCGCATAGGAAGTCCCTTGCGCCTCAGGTCCAGAAAATCCACGAGGAAAACAACAGGACCCAATGATGCTGCTCATGCTGCCCCCTTGCACGTCCACCGGTGGGGTTTAGCCTCCTAAAATACGTCCGAATTTGTGCGCGTTAGAGGCAACGTCTTTCAGCAAATTCGCTGTGGCCCGCCCCCCCCCACCACCCTCCGCCTCGATGGAAAGACTGACACCCCAGCAATATTCAGCTTGACCTCCGGGCGCTTGCCACCATCCCGTGAGGACCGGCAGCTGCTGCCGCCCATAGTCTCATAGTGACAACTCAACCCTGAGCAGCCTAATGTTGAAGGTGCTGCTGAGGCACCACCGAAGGGTCGTGTCATCCACAGCCAGGCCTGCCGCTCTGGACCAACATGCACTGAGCACTCTTGCAAATCGTAGCATAAGAGTCTCTCTACTTACAAAGCATACTTGGTGGCTTAGGTTTCCACGCCGCGAAGCAGTTTAGGCTCAGTTTAGGGTTTAAGTTTTCTTTAAGCGCTGCTCTTCTACTCTCGTGGACCAGGCCAGGGAGTTAGCCCTGAGATCTGAGGAAAATCAGCTGGGCCATGAACGCTTCGACTGCCTCCCCGTAGTTTTTACAGATTTCATCAGATTTCCACACTTGGTGGCAGGCTGGAAGACCCTTTGTCCCTCAGGGCTGGCCAAAAACTCGTTGAGCTCAGGACGACCCTTGTCCATGTCTCCACATTCTCATGCGCAGCATCTTCATTCTCGTGGTTTTGCATCCGTTTCAGGTCGTGTTCAAGGACACGCTGCTGAAACTCTTCCGCATCTCCTCATACTCTGCCTTGATTCTGGTCAACTCCTCCACGTTCGCCCTGTTTTCCACTTCCTGGAGCACTTCCCGTTCAGCATCTTCAAGATCCCTGACAAAACGTGCTGGTCCATCCACATCACTAAGGCTATCGTCAATCTGGGTGCTGGCAGCTCCCTCATCAACAAGTTTTGTTCACTTCGCTTGCAGGGTCTCCCACCAATGTGTCTCACAATGCAATTCTTCAGTTCTCTCCCCCTGATCCGCACATGTGTCATTGTTGACCACCAAGGTGACACATAATTACGTAGGCTTAGGGTTTTAGAGATTAAGGGTTAAGGGCTTTTAGGTTTAGGACGCCTTGAGATGAAAAAGGAACTGCCAATCACCAATCCTTAAAGGAGGGTAGCCGCCGCTTCTCCTGACGAAACGACATCCTCATCTGTATCTTTTTCTTGCAGGTAGAGGCAATGTGCTTTCCAACTACGTCCAGTTCTGACGAAAGCTCGATGTTGCAGGCTGTTGCTGCAGAATGGGTCCTTAAAACGACTCTTCAAGCATTGCCCTGAAAGCGCCTTTTCGTGTTGCGTTCATCGCCGGCCCCAGCACCACATCAGACTGGCAGTTGTACTGGCCCGAATCAGATGGCACAAAGCCATGACCTTACGTCAATGCATATGGCATGACGGTAGTTGGCATCTACAACATCTCCTAAGAGTGTCTCAACATGGCGGCTCTCTGTTCATTATGAAGATCCTGCCATTTTGGGTTGTCGCCTTGAAATCTCAGGCTCTGACCAACGGCCAGCAGGAGAACTAGCAGTTTCAGCTGCATGCTTCCCCGCTGCCCGGACTTGAGCAACATTGCTGAGGGGCACAGCTCGTTTTGAAGTTGAAAATACTGGAAGTGGACGAGACGATGCCGCAAAATTACTTCCGACATATGGCTAGCAAGTGATGGCCATGGCAGAGTCCTATCGAGGATCCAAGGTTAGAGCACCTCCTAGCCCATTAGCATCAAAACCTACCCACCACGTTTGGTACTTCTTATGGAAATAAATGAAGGATGACCTCCAAGACCGATCTGCGGAGATGTATTATCAAAATGAATGTGCAAGGTAATCTCTTTGCGTTTGGCGTTAATGATGGCACCAGCGATGGTGCAAGCCAACTCGTGCGAATTGGATCCCAAAGAGCCTCCCTTGCATGACACACCGCAACACAATGACCCTGACTGGTCTTGGCCAGCCTTTCGCACGGTGGATGGGGCTACATGGGCTGCTACCCAACTAAACACTGCGACCTAGACTCTTTTGCACAAGCAGACCCGAAAGGATTCTCAAAGGCCTTAGCTGATACGATGACACTTCACGGCTCTTCTCCGCCCATGCTCATGTCAGTCTTTGGGCTACGCGTTGCCGAGCATAAGACCGTAAACTTCATGTCAGTCCTCAAATGAGCTATGTCATTCCTTCTGCACTCTTGCCCACTGAGCGAAAACTCTTGAAGCCCTGTGCATAGCATGCAACACAACTAGTCAAAAATGAGCTTCAGTACTGGTGCACAGCACATCGAGTCGACTTTCAGCCGTCCGGGTCGGCTTAGGTCAAGGATTTAGTATCTGGGCGAAGTTGTGAATCAGTTGCCTTGATGGAGTTTCTAGCTACAATGCATACAAATCATCCAGCGTCACCTTGGATATGAAGCACCATCAGAAGAACTCCCACCAGCTCAACTTTCAAAACGTATTGAGCAGCATCCCAAGCAACCTGAGCGTTCAGCCATGTTCAGCCCAAAGGAAAGTCTCACCGAGACTCTCCCAAAAGCAAAGTGCGTGCCATTTTGCCCATTTTGCAGAGTCAAGGTGGCGTGCGTGCGAGGCAGTTGGGCCAGCCCGTATGGACCACGCTCTCTCTTTTTCGGTTCTAGCAACACCGGCGTTTTGCCTTACAGCAGGCCGCTTGGCATCCTCCCCAATACTATTGCCCATAGTGGTTTAAGATCTCAACCACGCAAAGATAACTGAGAATGTGCAAGCGATCGGGCGCAGAGAACCAGAGCAAATTTGCAAGCACCTGCAGTGCACCTTTGGCTTCCTGCAGGTGTACCGCCGTCCTTCAAGGACGTTGGCAGTCAGGCACCGTCAGGCACCGCCAACCTGAGTCTAAAGTAAGAATCCACAGCAAAGGCAAAGGTCATCCCGGCCCTGCCTTCTTCACCCAGTGCCACTGGCCACCCTTCCTCACCATGCTGTTTGTGAAGCAAGTGACGCGTGATTGTCAGGCGAGTAGGGTCTTGAGTTCCGAAACTGAGCGTGCAAAAGAGAAAGCTGTCTCAGGTCAAGGCCAATTTCTCACGGTGCCCGCTTCTTTCCAAGATGTGTTGCCTCCTCAGCCAGTGGGTTTTGTTGTTTGTTTTTCGCTTATGCCGGCAATACCTTTACAAATAGACACGCGACGAACATGCGAGATCCACATGACCCTGTGATACTGCTGTCACTTGACGCCTGCACAGTTTCGCTGCAAGGGAATTCTGAGTTGTGGGCTGTGCATCCACTGCCCAGGCCTTGCAAGAAAATGATGCCGAGACCGCAGGAAGAGGATGATCCACTTATTGCAAACCATCGAGGCGCAATTCCAGAAAATATGTGGCACTCTGGCACTGTGATGGGCAGATCTGCAAGCACCTCAGACTGCCGAGGCTGGCACTTTTTCCCTTCGCCGGTCTTCCAGTACCAACGGCCTGAGCTCTGAATTCTGATATGGAAATTGGGCCTTACTGGGTCAGAAGCAGAAGTGGTGCGGTATCTGCACCCTGTTGAGAGCTGCGTGGCTTTGCCTTTTGGAAATCCTGAGCCGCACGCCAGGGCTCCAGTCGCTTGACCTGGCAGGCGCATTTCGTTCCAATACTTCTTCTACTTCCTGCCACTTGCTGGAAGTACAGACCAGAACCTGAAGAAACACAATAAGAACTCCGGAAAGCCATCACAACATTCAGGCTGGTGCTTGTTGCCAATGCCCTGCTTCCCGGACAGACCACCTCAACTGTGTGCAGTGATGCAGGGCAGCACAATTCAACAGGCCGAACTGAACACAAACAGGCTCCAGCTGCAACAGCTTTGTTGCAGGCAAACTGGGCGCCACGCTACAGTTCCACTGGCCGGACCTGCCGGGGACTCTTCCGAATGAGCCATTACAATGCACGAGGGCACACATTTTGTTGCATAGTGAAGGCCGGTTCAGCAGCTAGGCTGGCGACATAGTATAATTACTCCTGATGCACTCCTTGGCAGCTCCACAGCGTTGAGGCTCATGCGTCTTGTCCGCGCCAAGTGTCCGTGCTGAATGGCCTCAGGTACCCACAGCTGAGAAGCCCCGTACATGTTGGGCTTAGCAGCATATGGCATCTTCCTGGGACTAGCAACGCCTTCCGACAAGTCGGATCGAACAGCAAAACTACCTTCGCTTCCTTTGCGGCTGCGACGTCTTGCGAAACAAAAAGCTCAGCAGCACACCATAGCTGCCCCAGCTGGACCTGGGTGGAGAATATCATCCCCATCTCTTCAATTTCATTTCTCTCAGACAGCATGGAAATCGCTTTGCGAGCTACATTTCATCGACAAAATGAGCCTGACAGCGCACGCATGTCCCCCGCCCACATCTACACCGAATCTACACACCTGCAACATGCAGCCACAGACATGCCGCTAGCTGAGGATGCGTCTCTCCTTTGCCCAGCTCGTTGTTGCCTGACGCATGCATGGCATCACAACCAGTCTCCTTGCCAAGCCGTGTCCAAGCAAAAGTATTCAATTCAAGTGCGAGAGGTTTGCCCCTGCCAACCGTCTGCTCTGAGCAGCTGGCACTTCGCTGGCGATGCGCGCAACATCTCCTAAGCACTTCTGAGGAAGTCCCAAAAAGCCTCGTCCACGAAGACGGGTCGCGAGCAGTCCGAGCTGACGCTGAGGTAAAGACTTTGGCAAAGAGGGTCTCCACCCAGCCTGGCAAGGGGCAAGGGCAAAGATAGGGCCAAGCAGGCAACAACCAACCGCAACTGTCAAGTGAGGCTGCAGCTCGGTCCACGAGGTGGCGCATGTTGCACCTCCTGCAGGCACACATGCAAGTGCGCGTGAGCTGTTCTCAGAAGTAATACAACATGTCAGCTCTGTTGACCTTTATTAGTGCGGCCCTTATTCCGTTTGGGCTGGGCCCCTCCTTTTGCAAGCTGATTCAAGTGCAAGGCTCCAAGTACCCCGCCTTCGTGCCAAGCGTCGGGAAATCCTCTTTGCAACTCTTTGCAACTCTTTGCATGACGACTCGAACTCAGTCACGGCATCCTGCACAGCTCCGGCATTCACGTAGTTGAACATTGCGCTTAGGAGATTGTCGCAGAAATTGGAAGATGATGGGCAGATCTGAAGCAAGAGCCGTGAAGCTGCGGCGGCTTAAGCAATTGTGGCTTGTTATTCGTGAAGTGGCCGACTGTGGAAGCTGGGCGAAGGTTACCCATTTTGGGGGACGTTCGGCAGAGGAAATTGAGTCCCTGCTGAGCACACATGATTTGATTGCATGTTCTCACGCGGCACATTCGAAATACGGTTTCCTCTGGAGCTCCCGAATGATGCTAGACTCCAGGCTAGCTGCATCGTACTAGCAAAGGGGGCGGTGCAGCCATGACGATGAGGAAAATACAGCTCAACAGAGCAACCAAAATACATGTGCCACAATGGCCAACAAACCTGAGTACAACGCGTACCCATTTCCGAGATCATTGCTGAACTGTCCTCCGTTCTTGCTGCCCCCAACCTTGGTCATGAAGGCATCCGTTGGGTTACGGTCTCCCTTCTCTCCTTTTGCAAGCTCTTCGCACTCTCCAGCTCGCAAAGGCAGGGGTTTGGCAGTCGCAGTGCTGCGAACTGCTTGAAACTTTCGTCGGCGCGTCACTCCGTATCAGGTGCTGCTCGCGGGCCTGGCGCATCTAATGGGCAGCAGCGCAGAAGAGAAAGCTCAACAGGCGGCGAAAGCTCCGCTTCCAGGAAGCTTCATCAGGTGCGCCTATGCCATACGCGGGCACTGCAGGCGTGCCGCTCCTCAAAGCTCGAAGCTGTGAGCGTTGTAGACCTGATCCACATGCCCAGACCATATCATTCACACAGGTGTCTGGAGAGCCGGACGCTGTGGTCGATCTGAATCACCTCGGAGACAGGATTCGCTCCCTCATCTTATGCTGCGTTTGAAGCAGTGGGCACTTCCCAGCCTGAAGCAGCTGCCTGTTCAGAGGGCAGACCGTAACACTTCAGGAAAAAGCCACTGTGTGATCGACTCAAGTTGTCGTGGCCTCAGGACGCGCATCATGCGCTGGGTCGGTGAGAAGCTTTACTGCCTCTGCTGTGCCAGCTCCGTACGCCGCTCTGAAGTCAACTTGGCTACAGTTACAGCTCAACAGCCTGCAAGGCGGAGCGATAGCCGCAGCGGTGAGCCATCTGCCACAGCACCTCTGGATCCAAACCGCAACTTAAAAATCAAAGTGGCGTCTCATACAAACCCGGAGGCGAGCCTCAAAGCGTTCCCCTCTCAAAGGCTGAGGAACTTGGTACCTTACTCAAGAGGCAGCGGACGAAACCTCTTGGTGCAGGGGTGCTGCAAGTGGGCCAGGCGCTCTTCGGCTAAGGGAGACCATTGGTGCAAACATCAACTTGGAAAGAAGCTTTCTCACATTCCCTCTCAGAAGGGAGCCAAGGAAAGGTTGCTGGATCCTGTCAGAGCATGTTTCGAGGGTGCGGCCCTCGGGCCGTCAAAGGGTTCAGGCCTACAGCTTTCAACCAGACTCTTTCATTCACTGGGGGGGTAATAGAGAATAAGGGAATATATTATGTAGGGACAATGTACATTCTTTCATTCCCTACCGACCACCAGCATTTTAAAGCTGTCCAGCTCCTGATCTGATCCGCTTCCATCAATTATCCAAGGACATATTTAATAGTAATCATAGTAAAAACGGTAATAATCGTACTACTGGTAAAAATAGCAATAATAGCATCCAAGGACATCCTGTTTGCTTTTTGCAAGATTTGCAAGGTTCCTTTGGTGCGCGTGAGACGGTATATCTTTCTCGGCTGAGGCAAAACTCCTGACCGTTTTGCTATAGCAAGTTGACATTTTTGAAAATGGCTTCGTGCCGGATTGTTTTATGTGGCCTTGAATATAAGTTGACTGTTGTGTCCCAGTGTACATGTTGAGCATTGGCAAGCTTGGCCTGGCAGGAGCTTGCGCAGAAGGGTTGCAAGTCCAAGGCATCGCAACCAAACGTTATTCCGGTTCCATGAAGGGTAGCGAAAAAGGCGCTGGGTATGACATGTAGGCATGAGCTTGCCATACTATTCAAAAACAATATATCCTTGCACGAAGCTTGGTGTGGAGATGACGGTAACTGAATGATTCCTGGCTCTTGGAGTGCAGCTAAATTCCCGTGCCTGGGCAAACGTTTGCAAAAGTCAAAAGTCTTTTACGACAACAGCGAAGTAGGCCTTGGCTCTGGAAATCCTAATTTGGGACCTTGTGCGATCGGTTTCGTTGTTAAATTTGCTCAATGGTTTGCATGGTAGTGCAGCTTCAATACTGGAACTTCGGGGTCTTTGCCGGATGGATCTTGTTTCCTGTAGCACAGCTTGCTGGATAAGCTCTCGCGAGCAAGCTGCATAAGTCTTGCTGCCCTGCAGTGCAGCTTGAATAAACGAAGGCCTGGGAATCTGGGTGGCTTTTGTCACATAGGTATGCTAGGACTGGTGGGACATGGGGTGATGAAAGACTCTGGAAATCACTTTGTCCACTTAGTTTAATCTTGTTGATTTGCATGTTCAACGGCAAATCATTTTAGCCCAGCACAGAGCTTCTGATCACTGTTTCAACATTCTGCATTTGTTGAATCACTCTCAACATGTTGCTGCCGTTGCAGGTGCAAATTGAGTTCGGCTGACTGCAAACAGGACCATGCTTTTGTTGCTTATTCTGTTCTCAGTTGCACATAGCTGTCTGCACACCTAATATGCATCATTCCAACCGATGCAGATGGTCCTTGAATCTCTCCACAATCTGCTCCGGCGTCTTGCCTATGAACTGCTTCGGGCCACAGTTGTGACGCCCTCTTGGGTCCATGCCTTTTGATGCAAAAACAAGGCAATTGAGATCATCAGGCGAAGCAGCTGCACCTTCTGGAAGACGGGGGACAATCGCCCTTCTCTTCCCATTTCCCCAACATGACCTCCGGCTGGTATGGACCACAGGGAGCGCTGGTGCAACACGGCCGGATGATCACAAGGCCTTGATTTGAGACATGGCGAGGACGTGAAGAAACATCGCACGCTCCCAACTCCTGCACAGCATGACCCGTGGCTTGCCAACCTGGTAGTTTCCCTACATGGGGGGACCCAGACAAAGACCCCAAAATACTAGAGTTAGAGTCCTTATTATAGGGACCCCAAAAGGGACACTAAGTTTGGGAAACCCTAAACCCTAAACAGTAGTTTCGGTTTGCTTTTCCAGTACCCCACGGCCATGATATGCCCATGACATCCCTAATTTGAGGATGCCCCATGCAGGCGATCTCTTTGCCTGGCCCTGGCAGGCGAGGCCACATGGCAAGATGACTGGCCATTGGTTAGTTAGCTGGGAATGAAGGAATGCAGAAGAACATGGAAACTACTATAACGAATGGGTTGTATAGGGACTATCATAGGGATCCTTTCCTTCATTCCTAGCAAACCAAAGGAAAGATACTTGAGGCGTTGGTTTTGTTCCCCGTTTGCCTCTGATGCTGACGTCACTTTTGGGTCTTTTAGGGTAGCACCTAGACATAATCATTACAGCATACAGCAAGCCGGTGGCTGCCTGATGAAGTCATAGTCTCTAAGATGACTAAGTTGGCTGCTGGGAGGGGCAAGCCAGCACAGCATGGAAAGGGGGGTTTTAGGGTTTAGGGTGGGCGAGCAATGAAGATCACCAAATCACTTGACACACGGAAAAGATAGACACAGCGTCTGGATTGTCATTCTGCAAGCTACCTTCTTTGGAGCCAACCTGCCCGGCAGTTTTGGGCTTAGGGGAACTGAGCGGCCCAGAATGCGACTGCGGATTGCATTCCGCGTGAGAACTGGCCTGCCACCAAAACCATCGCATATCACATGCTCACTCTTGTTGCGCGAAGCGCGAGTGGTTCGTCTCTCTGGATGGTCACCCCTCAACATGGCCACAGATGGCTCGCTGAGTCAAATGGCATAAGACTCATCCACAATAGTGAAAAGTTTGGTGAGAATATCTGCATCCGATGATCGTCATTTGCAACGCAGCTGCCAGTGGTGAGCCAGGAGACACTGAAACCACAGTTTGTATTGACGCGTAGATTACACAAATCACGCACGTCTGCCAGGTCCCATGCACTAGCAGCTCACTAACATTCTATCTGCACCTCGCCTGTTTGGCTTTGGAGCTTGGCTCCTTCGGTAAGCCGCTGACATACTCACACCTCTTGCTTCGTCAAGACTGTCCCGCTGCTAAGCCCTACTCCGCCCAGCTTACCACTTTACCAGCCAAAGGCGAGCCCATGCTTTCAGAGTCTTCTGCTGAAATCGGGGCTGCTGTGAAAATGATATGGACAGGGCCGAAACAAGCATGGCTGATATGAGACTTCCACTCCTAAGCCGTAGAAAGAGACTGCCATGCTGTGCTACAGTGCTACAGCATCGACTCGTTCTTTCCTGCCCAATAAGGCGCGCGGCTTCACGACTTCCGGGTCACTCACACCGGCATGTCGTCCCGTCGAGCAGCCTGCAGAGCAGCGTGCGTCTTTTCATGGACATATACTTGCGCACTCTGCTACTTGCACCCAGATGTTGTACCACGTTGACGTACAGATCAGCATGTGTCCAGATGCGTCACAGCTTTGGAGACAGAACTCGCAGGGCGGTGCGGCTGCAATGGTGCCAAGAACCAGTCTACGCCCTTCAACAGCATCTGAGGGGTGCGAGGGACTGTCTGACCACCACCATTCTCTTGCCAGAGGCGTATCTTGTCTCACTTTGTGATTGCTGGCTGCCAGTCGGCTGAATCAGGCAGATTTGCTTTGGCCCTGGAATGGCTTGCCGCGGACGGGGCTATACGCATTTCTTCAATCTTGCAAGCTGGGGTGATCTGTAGGTCAAACACATTCTTACGTTGCGTGCTGTGATGTAGGGCCTAGGGCCCTACAGCAGCAAGGCAGCTCAAGTCTTCAGAAAAGATCTTGTGCCTCAGTTGAACAGTTAAAGCAGGCAAGCACACTGGCTGCTGCAAAAAGACTCGCAGATATGGAACGGCAGAACAAATCAAGAACTCCCGGCAAGATACTGAGAAAAGAAGAAGCAATAGTATTCACGCAGTTGGCATCCCGTTACAAGGATATAAGAAGGTCTCTCAACGCCTGCCCATCATCTAATCTGACCCGGACGTGGTGGTGCACCAGGCCTCCGTTCCTCGTTCGAGCGTAAAGACGCCGTGCTGCCGTTGCCAGGCACGGTAATGCCTGAAGGGGTTATGGGGAGAGCTGAAGCCGAATCCTGCAAAATCAGAGAACATACTAGAGATGTCAGTCTGGAAGATGTGCCAAGGTGAGGGACCTGCAGCAACAGGCTGGCCTCACACATGCCTCCCAGTTCACCGCCAAAGCCATCGCAAAGACGGTAATCAACCACCTGCAAAAGCCAGGAATGTAACATGACAAGCTTTTGGATCTTACTTCGACTCCTGATTCACACTGGGTGCACCACACTGACGAGGTCACCAACACCGGTACCTACCACGAGGGTTGCAAGTCTTTGCCCTCGTGTTGTGGAAGCAACGCCCGCCGATGACCTTTCACTCCATACGCCAAGACTGATGATCCTTGGAGGAAGCTATGGCAGCTATGGCACCTATGGGCAAGGTAGATAGAGAACACTTGCCGCTCGCTAATCTGTGCTGCGAAGCATTCAGCTTCAGCAGATCTGGTGATTAAATTAGCAATTCGAGGCCAGGCGAACCATGGCGAGCTATGTGGGCTTTCCCAGCTGAGCAAAGGCTGCTCCTATCAATACTTGCTTGCTCTCTCAGATGCTCTGCTGAGGATACCCCATAAGTCCTTCCAGGCTTCGCATTAGCGATAACCCTGGAAATGGACTGAAACTAGGCAAAATGGAAGACAATGACTTCACAGATTGCTGGGACCAAGATCTGCACGTCCAAGCCTTCCTCTTTGACTTCCGAAGTAGATCAAGGCCTGTGCACTCTGCCAAGCCTCTATAACAGGAGGCCTGTGAGCCGGCTGCCACTATTCCACAGCATGGCCGCCCAACAAGGATCCCTCTAATATCCACTCTCACTTGCGGTCGACGAACTTCCCCAGCCGATTCCAAACCTCAGTAAATCCTCACACTTTGCTGGCACATAACATGCAAACTCTGAATTGATGCATTCCAAGCTCGTTACGATAATGCAACTTTTCATACAACAGTAGTGCAGCAGCTACTTCTCTAACTTGAATTATGAACATTGCTCACTGCCTCACATCTCAATAGGCTTCCGGCATTGTCTGCATACTGCGCGTTCAGGCCCTTCGGCCGCCTGAGCCGTGCCAGTATGCCTATCCCTTTCCTGCTCAACCCGCGTGCCCTGCTTTGACAGCACATGGCTTAAGGCAAGCTCCGCTACAACTGCATTCGCCTTTTCCGTGCTAAGAAGCGAGCCCTTTCCAGACTTGGGTGCTCCGCCACCCTCGCGCCCAGCTATCATCAGAACTCAATGGTGCCTGAGCAATGCGGATAACAACAGGAAGTTTCTAGGAAGACTCAATCACTGTGTTCTGTATTCTTGAGTGACTGACTGGCAAGCCGCCATGTTGCCTGGCTTGCATGGCTCAAGGTCTTGTAGTAGTGCTGGTAAGGGGTTATGAAGAATGCTATTGTCCAAGCTTGTCACTACAGTAGTCTAGGGGGGCCTGACTATTAAATGTGACTGCTTGCAGGGACCGGCCAATTTATCCTGCTGCGAGGAGCAACCTCGGGATTTCAGCGCTGCCGCTGCCGATCTCAACTGTGTCGTGCAGTCTTCAAGCAAAGCAATGTGGACATGTGGCTGCCCCACGAGCCTCTGATGCATCGCGGCGAGCCCTAGCCGCTCCTAACAAGAGCTCAAGATCAGCACAGCCCCGAAACAACCCATGACAGCAGCAGCGCAAGGCATTGGCTGCTTCGACTCGCTTTGACAATGACAGCCACCCGCATGGAATGCCGACATGTCTGGGGAACTGGCAACCTGGAAATCTTCGCGGGATGTAGTTGATAACAAGTGGCGCCTGATTGCTGTTCTCCAACTTTTGAAGGAATGCTCAAAAGAGACAGTATGCAGCACTGAAAGTAGTGAGAGGGTTCAACAACACTTCACATTATTTCCATAGCAACAGCCATTCTGCTTCGAGCTCCATGCGGGAATGGCAGCGAGCCCAGTGGTGGCGGGAGACCTGTCCAGATCGAGCCATCTTCTGAACATGTGAGGCAAAGATGCAAAGGCAAAGAACCAGAGTCTGCAAGGGCGCAAGCTCTGGGATGTCTTTTTTTGGTTAGCCATGTGTGCTGTCCAACCCTCACTGGGCTTTTTTGATTGGGTTTCCAGGCGGAGCCAATGCTGGCACACTTCCTGCGGACTAGGCAAAGCACCCGATAAACTGTCATGCTAGGCCACAAGGCATCTGTGCGGCGAGGCAAGAAGCAGTCGCGTCTACTGAGGAGGTTTGAGGCGGAGGCAGGAGGACGAGGTCGACAGCGGCAGTTTCTGCATGTTGGGTGTCTGACGATTTGCGAGCCAGCAAGGCTCTTACTGCGGGCGCGCCAAGCTTGGCAGTGACTAGAATAGTGAAACTGGCAGCTATCATCGTGACAGCCATCATCATCATCATCATCATCGTCATCAATATACAGCCCTTATTCGTACGTCCGAGGAGCTACAGCGAGGTAGACCTCAATTTCTGAAGCTCAAGCAAGGTCCAACTGCACTTCTCTAATGAACCAGCTTCCAGCTGGAGCTTCAGTTCTGTTGCGGTAAGTGTGGTCATCTTCAAAAGTTACGAGCCATAGCCACCCATAAGCTAGCAAGTATTCAGAAAACATGGCCTTTAGCCACTTTCGCTTTTGACGCCATGTCTCTTAGATCTTGAGGCTTCCTCAAGAAACACGTTTTGTCCTTCTACGCCAAGCCCTTCAGCCTTCTTTGCTTCGGGTGTGCTACTAGTGTACTAAGTAGGATGGAGCCCCCATGCTCCTTTCATTCTAGGTGAAACGTACTATGGAACTCAGTGTTAACATTCTGCAAGCATCTTGCAGCTAGTGTCTCCTGCTTCCGCTGGGTGCCATCAATCTGGAACCCGAAGCCTGAACACCTTTCCTTTCTCCTTCTCATATCCATCGCCTGCTTGCCCATGTTCGCATGGCTTGTTTGCAATGTCTCCTCAGGCTTGCCAGCATTCCTTTTGCAACAACAGCTGGGTTGTATCTGCTGCTCTGCTCCGCTCCGGAGTCTGAGCTAGAACCAAAGATTCCTGAACATTTGCCCGGGCTGAGATAAGCCGCAGTGGATCTTCTGCGAGTGTCCAATCAAGACGCGAAAAAAGGTCTTGCCCAGTTTTAGCGGTTTAGAGTCAGTGGAAGCCTGTGCTACGAGCAGCCTTTGCAGACGATCGGCAAGGATTCACTGTCACGGGGCTTGACGGCGTGCAGAAACTCGCGTTACAAAGCTACCAAGGTACTCGCATCACATGAAGGATGTTCAATGACGCCTGATGTAATCAAGGATGGCTTCTGTCACGTTTGTTGCCTGAGTGGCGTGCTCACAATTCTGGACAACATGCCTCACTCCACCTCGATGTACCTGTAGACGCCTGTCACGCAGCTCTTTGCTGCTGCGGCTAATGGCCTGGTGTGCAGACCGCAGAGAGTGCTCCTGTCTTAGTTCCCACAAACGAAAATGGTGAGCGCGGATACAGCGCGCATGGGAAATCTTGCAGGCTGCCCGCGATTGGGATCGCCTTCCAGAATTTTGCAAAACTCTGCCTGAGTTGGAAACTCTCTTTCACTGTAACCTGCAGTGGCAGCAGTGGTGGTTTTGCGATCACAGCGGGGACTGCACCAGGGTAATCCAGGTACCCGCACAGGATCTTATGGAACTCCAGCGGATATTCCCAGGTGGTGTAGTTGCTTTTCGGTGACGGCGAATAGCGGGAGCCCAGCTTATTGATTAAACCTTGGTCCTCCAAAAACCGCAAGTGAAAAGATCCAGCAACGCATAGCGCATGTGATCCACAAAAGCACCTACCAATAGTTGTCCAGAGTACAGCAGCGCTTCGGCTGCAGCGGCAACATCAGGAAGCGTGAAGAGTCGCAAGTATTGTGAGGCCGCCTGCTGTTCCACAGGTGCTTTGGGGCCAAAGAAACGATCCGCGAAGTGAGGAACGGACAAGCCTTGTTTGTTTCAGTGTGAGGAAGGCGTGTAGTTCAGAGACCATCATTTCTTCAGTCATGTCCAACAAAACTCACAAAAAATGACTTCACGGCAGGTGGTGGAGCTGGTGAAGCTGCGCACTCTGTGCCGATGCCAGAATGGCATGCCAGGAGCAATGTGTAAGTGCGGTAACCGCGTGCCATGAGGAATAGGCAACCGAGGTGTGTCCAACCACTGTAAGCCCAATAGGCCTGAGGTACAGTTGCTTTGCCCGGGTGATTAAAGAAAGTGAACCTCACTAGGCCTAGAGGCAGGATGGCGCACATCTCATAAAGCTATCAGCTATCAATCGACTGATCTACTCACGGGTGCTTTCATGCTGACAGCCCAGCCTTCTGGATCGCGCGGCGGCGTGAAGAGCTGGGCCAGGTGCAATTCAGATTTTCCGATCTTGGTTTCCCTTTCGACGGGAACGCTAGATGCTTGAACGTAAGACCATTGATTCGGGCTGATGGCGGGTTCGTGAAACAGAAGTCTGCATTGCAGCTGGCAAAGTACGAGTACCATCCTAGTCTGGTGTGTAGGCACTCACATATCCTGAGTTACCAAACAGTACATCTGACATCAGTCTCAATTTTGGAAAGCAGTGGTGTAAACTTGCTTGCAGGACAGGATAGCCTGCTATGCCAGGCTTCACCGACGAGCTTAGAGGGTTTGGTCATTATTGCTTTTTTTCTCGGACCTTTTCTCCACTGGGTGAATCCTAGCGAAGATGCTTTCAAGCACGGTCCTGCAACCAGTACAAATCTGGCAAAAGTGGCATCAGCCCGGAGCATTCCAGTCGACTGAACCCTCACCATAGCACTGGCCTACCAGAACATTGCCACTCTTCCTAGCACTTACAGCCCTTAGCAGCAAGTTAAAGCCCTCAAAAGCAGGCACTACTCAGGGTTGGGGGTTTAGGGTTCAGGGTGTGCAGCATAATAGTTGGAATCGAACTCGAATAGGCAATGAAGGCTCAATCTCAGTACCGACTTCATCATTGGGCCCCGGCTGTTGCAAAAAGCTCCTCCTTTGAGAAGTCACGATTCGTCTTGACGAAGGCATCCTGTATGGAAATTCCTGGCACAAGGGCCGAAGACTGGTCTTCTCCTCATTTTGATTTCATATACCCCAAAGCTCACCTGCACATCAGTCAATGCTGTTGGAGAATGGCCTAACGTAGTCACCGTCTGAGACCGTATCGACAGTATCTAGCGCGCTACAGCAAAAAAGCTCAAGGACGCAGGACCCGAATCGGATGTACATTGATTTGTTGAATCACCACCCAAAAAGGTTGCGACTTTTGCTTGAGGTCTGTAGCTATCCATGCTGAATGTGCATATCTGCATATCCAACAACTTCTAATTCTTGGTCAGTCCGGCAGGTGAAATGTCAGAAGACCACACAGGCCTTTCACCTTTGCCGCTCCAAAGCCAGGAGCCAAGTGGCTGCGCCAATCCTTCCGGACCATCAGGACTTCTAGGCTAGGATTAGCCAGAGACCCGTCCCAAGCTGCAGGCCTCCGTACCACTAAGTCGTGGCATACTGGGTGCCTTGAAGCATGCGTCTTAGCATTCCGAAGGAAGCAAACCATTGACAGTGTTCAAGCGCTTAGGTCCAGTACGGACTGCGCCCGTCCAAGCTCGCCTCGGGATTTTGTGTCTCGCGGACAATGCTCAACACAGGGTCTGAGGCGCCGCGAATCTATGGACCATGCGCATGCGGCTGCCGCTTAACTTATGCTGGCCAGTGTCGCGGCAGTCTCGCTGGCAAAGCAACGGAAGCCGCTGCGGCATCCCAGGTTAGCCTCAACATGTCAAAACCTGCACTTCATGCAAACTGACCAGCCAGTGTTGTCTATGTCCACATCCGACGTGACCCGAGCTCAGGAAAGAACATGGTTACGTTGAGGGGCGCGTCAAGCTGTCCGGCAGTTCCGCCCTGCTGACTGTTTGATGATTGCTGACGATTGCATGCGAAGATTGAGAATGCTTGTCCTTAGCAAGTGCGTGTCTGCTCGAGATCTAGACGGCCTAGATGCATGCTTGTTCCCCTTTTGGACCCCGTTTTCTGGACAAGGCTGTATTCTGAATTCTTGCATGAGCCAGGAGCAGCAGCAAAGTGTCACATGTGTCACAATGCATTCATGTCCAGTACTGGTCGGCAGAAAGAAGCATGCTGTCAGAGCTAGAACATCATCAGCAACACTGCACCCCTCACCATCAAGACTGTATCCAACAGTTTCGCTGGAAGCAGAGCTGCCTTCAGCTTTCGTATTAGCCAGTTATTAGCCGGCCAGTTATTAGCCGGAAAGGAGAGGCCTCACTAGCTTCTGGAGCACAACTTGCAAGACCATCGCGGCGCACCCATGTGCCGTTTGGTGACGACAAGCCATGACGAAAGCTGCAAAGTGTGTTGACGAAGTACCTGGCTGTTGCTCGCTGACAGCACCAACCAGTAGATCTAGCATGCGCAGCTCTGCACTTCCTGCATCACCACGCTCAGCACTTTTTCTGAACGCCAAAACAGGTAGCCTTCAAGCCAACGCTTTCGCCTCCACAGGTCTTGGTCAGTACATTCAGCATCCCGCGCCTTCTAATAACTTTTCCGAGGCCCTGGCATTTCTTCGACAAGTTCCGCTGGGAACTGAGAGATCTTTAAGAAGCCTTGCCAAGGCAGAAGTGCAATCTTGGACAAAGGTAGGGTCAGGTGGACTGCGTCGTTCATCCAATCATCTGCAAAATTACTCACAGGCAGTGCCTAGAAGATCTATGACGCCCCATCTTATTCGACAACATGCCCTCATGGCTTCCAGCTTCTTTCCTGGATCTTTCGGCCTCATTGATCAATCTTGGAATATTTGCGCGATGGCTCGGGAAAATGCATAAACTCCCGTGGACAGATACGAATAATCTATGAATTCTAAAATCATTTTGACTCTCTGTCCCGGATTTATGCGCTCCGCCAAACAGCCGCGTAGAGCCAAAGAGAAAGAAATCACGCGGAAAACCGCTCACAGATCTAGTTTTTTGACGTGCTTCCGGATGCACACCTATGTGGCGTGAGATCTCCAGGATTCATGTTGATTTTTGCTCTTCCATGCTCCGAGCTCATGACATGTTGGCGGGCGCCCTTTTGCAGTCTAGCAGCTGATGTTCGCTTCATTCACCAGGAATTGCCCACCTGCCAGCCAGTCTTGCCACAGTCAATATTTCCATAGATGTAAAATTGCCAGGCACTGAAAGGTGTGCAGGTTCAACCATGCCACAATTGCATACAAACACCCTGCCTCCTGGTACGAATACGTCGATCCGGATGTGATCGCTACCCTGAGCGATTCTCTCGACAGCCTTCACCAACTGACGCCAAGCCTCGCCAAAGCATGTTAAAACTCTCGATGATTTTGCAGGGATGCTGCTCCACACATAAAGATTGTTGCAGCGTGGCGAGCACGCTGAAGTACAAGTTGCACCTCACCATCCAGTGGAGGCGGAGTGACGCAGCCCAGACAGCTGCCATCACGAAAAATGTAGCCTGGCTCACACTTTGCTGTGGGGTTCCATTGACACTCAGTGATAGCCGAGACGAGAAGCCATTCGACTTAAAGTTTGGGATGCCGCAGGCCTGCAGAGACAAAAGTGAATCCCACAATCCACTGTCAGCCAGTGCCTCCAAGACTTTGCCTGGTGTCCCAGACCAGGTCGTGCTCGGTCCCCCTGCTGATTTGCATCATCAAACCGTGCGGCGCCCTCGTCCCCCAAAGACATATTCCTCAGAACTCTCAGAAACCCAGTGCTTTTGCCTCGTCCATAGCTTTCCACGATGCTACAGGCAGTGCTACAAGTCACCATTGCAGTCCCCGCTATACTGTGCAATGGCCCATGGCACTGCAAGCAAGGCAGGAATTGACCAGGTAATGTACGGAAGTGAATGGGTATCTAAACGGCGGTCAATGTCTTGAAGCTTCATGCTTTCAAAGGGCCTTCAAGTACAACCGCACAAGACGTCCAGCAATCGTCCAAATCTCCCATAGAACCAGGCCAAGGTGCTGCACAAAAGTCCACTCGCAGAAAAACAGCTTTCCCCAAAAAGTCTGGCACTTCCTTAGCATGAAACATGCCCAAAAGTATGGACGTGTGATGTGCCATAGCCACAAACACGCCACCCGCCCATAGCCAAAGACTCATTTCGTCAGGAGTGCCCTCCCGATTGCGGCTTTCCACCAACTCCTCTGGGCAGAAGCACATGCCCGGCAACTCATGGCAGAAACTGTTCACAGACAGTCCGAGCCTCGATGAGCACGCCAGGACGAGTAGATTCCTAGTGCACGGCGACTTGCACAGTACATCACAAAGGCGAGCTTCCACCAAAATCTGTGACGGTGCACATGATTGATGTTTGCAGCCGGGCATCCGTCGCCCAATCGTCGACATGCCTTTTGGCAGTGTGAACAGAAGCCAGAAGGGATCAAATCAAAGCCCACCAAATTGCATGGCTGTCATTCATTTTGAGTACGCTACTTAACTTTTTAGCTACCTGGTAGCACCAAGTGGGCCTGTCATTCCATGACTCCTTTATTCCGAGCGCGATGTCCTCAATGCCGATGCTCTGGCCGCTTACCAGATTTTTTCCGTCCTTCATCACATACCTGGGCTGGAACAGGAGCCACGGGAGCAGCGGGGAGCTGTCATGCCTTTGAGGCACTACCTGCCTGATTGTTACCCTGTGCAAAAACAAGAAGAGCCTGAAACTGCCCAGATGGCAGCATGATTGGCGTTAAACTCCAAAGCCTCTTTGTCAAGTACAACATAGCACAACGAATCCTTCCCCAAGCCTGGTCGGCCAAGCTGCACGTAGCTAGTCGCTGCCAGGTGAGTCGGTTTGACCACAAAGCGCTGCAAAGCCAGGCTTTGCAGAACTGGCAGCCTTAGCTGCTCAAAGGTCAATCTATCAACTCACAGGGCTTCTCATGTTGAAGCCTCCAGTGTACGTGCAGGACTGAAACTGAGACAGCCGCACATCTGGTGAGTCATTCGACATGTAAAGGATCTTGGCAATCGGAATCCTAAGCTGATCCCGCAGCTCCTTTCTGTTTCTGGCACCAGATTCTTCATCGTTCCTTCTTCTTACAGAAAATCAGAACAGCAGACAGATCGCTGGCTTAGTCAGTGCAGTGGTGCTGGCGAAAATCGAATCTTGCATCATCCACGTCTTGAAGAGTACCTCTACACCGGGGAGCTCTCATACATCCCACGTGACTTGGCGTAGTGCCTTGTCCGAGAAGCGCCTCAGGCCTGGTGATTCGCTGTCTTCCCGCTGCCGCATCAGGTCATAAAGCCCGAGATCGACATGATCTCGGATCCCATCCTGAACAAGCCATTACAAATATCCGCCCAGACCCCACCGGCGGTTCTCACTTCGACAAGGCTTTAACATCGCGGAGCACGCCGTGGTTTTGTAAGCTTGCTTACTGGTTTGTTATGACTTCAAATGCCATGCGTCTGCCAGGTCGAAAGGTGATGCCGCGGGATGGCCCAGATCGCCTGTCCAAAGCTCCTGTGCAAACACGATGTCAGGTGGATATCACAGTCCTTGCTTGTTGATTCTGGTGTCTTCAGGTGATAAACACTGATTTTCGAGTTGGTAGAGACGTCTTGTCGTATAGCAGAGGCATCTGAGAAGCTCAGCTGGTCTCCTCGTCAACAAGTTCCACCCAGCGTCTCCCCAACCTGCCAGCAAGGAAAGGAACAAGGGCGGAATACCTAGGCCACACAGCTCCAACACACATATTTCATTGATTTCGCAGCAAGGTAGGTTCATCAGTTCATACACTGCTGCGCTGGACTTTGCATTTGTTTCTTTCGTAACAATGGAGATGTTTTGAAGTTCGGGAGTCCTGAGGTACAACCCTCCAGTTCCAATTCTTATCTTCTCGGCAGCCCTCCGGCTCACCTCATCCGGTTTTGGAGTCCAAACTGGAGTCCAAACATATCCAACCCCTGACCAATCATGTTTTGAACCATGCCTCTCTCGCTCCTCAGCGCAGCCGGAATCCAGCGCTCCCAGAGAACTGGGCGTTGCGTTCCATTGAACCAGGGCTTGTGTTGGGAGCAAACTGTCTAAAGTTTTGGAGTAACTGTTTCATCCGGCCTTGCCCTGCGTAGCCATGCCAGGTCTGCTGCCATGGGGAGCCCATCCTGCAAGTGATCGAGCAAATTAATCAACTTTCGGTCAAAAAAGTGATGTTCCATGAGATAAAAGCAACTCATCGGAAAACGCTTTGCGTGCCTCATCGCGTTGCACAGGGAACAGGCGTGGCAACCTCGGCATAACAACAGCCCAAAGCTGGTCCACAGTGAAATCCTGTGAGCCATCCTCTTGCTTTGTGGCAAAAGCTTCTTAGTAAGGTGGAAAATCACCTACCCATGGCAACAAGAGCGTGAACATCGGCCGAGATATCCCAATGTGCTTATGTGACGCATCCTGGCGCGCAGTAGCAGAAATCAATGATTTCCGCGCAACTCATTCATGTGGAAGAATGTGGAAGCTGCTGTCATTCAGAGGATGTGGATGGCTCATGCTTACTAATGAAGCCTGGCTCTAGAATGCCGCAGTCCAACATCGAGAGCACGGCGGGCTGCCGGCTATTGCGCATCTGCTCTTGCACAGTGTGCTCACACAGTCACACAGCACGGCTGATACGGACCGTGAGTGCGCTTGACGGGGGCTCAAGCTGAAAACCGAGATACTTTATCCATGCTTTCGGTTCCTCGGATACCTTACCGACATCAAATTGCCTCACCTTGCCGTGACAGCCGGCCCAAGATATGACTTCATCCAAATGGGCCGGCATGCTGATTTTCTAAGTTCGGCCAGGTGGCGCGAGTTTGCAGGGCACCCACAAGGACAGCGGCACAATGCTTGAAGCTTCCTTGCCAAGCAAGCTTGCATGCTGAGCATCCATATGGAATCAAAATGCTACTTTCAGCGGACCCTTACCTAAAAGGTTCAAAGGGCGTTGGGCCTGCCACCTGGTATCCTTCGAACCGTAGCAATACTTCACGGTTCTAGTGCTGGTGATGATGAAATTTGCCCTGGATAGCTGTCGGTGACTAGAACCTCAACAAGTCTTGAGGCCCACATTAGCATACAGGCAAGTACACAAATGGGCCCTGTGTTGCAGTGCCAAGTATTGCCAGGATTCCTGCGCGTAGAAATACAGGGAGACATAGACCTTAAGCGCCAGCAGAACAGATAATCTTTGGGAAAATCGCAGACTGCTTCTGTGCCGCTGCTCCCGGAAAGTCTGAAGCAGCCAGGCGTCGCATTCTGCACAAAACGTGCGGAATGCCACGCCGGCTCGCGGGCTGAAGCGATGCGGCTCCTCGCCAATCTGCCAAAGACCTGCTTTCACGTGCCCTCAGAACAAATCCCCGTGACATGACATGATTTCCTACGGAACTTGTTGGCATGCACATGTGCGGTCGTGCCTGCAGAGACAAAAACCAGGCGCCAGCAGCCAAGCAAATCCCTGCTGAGGTCGGCCTCCATCTGCTCCTTGAGACTCCTGAGCCGCAGGGACAGGGAACATTGTCATGCAATGTCATAGCAACGCTTTACACTGAATTCCCAACCTTTCTTGCATGCTACTTATGCTGGCAGTACTGTCGAACGGCAGGCGTTCCCGAATGCGCTCAATTTGTGTGTATCTTACTGACCATACTATGAGACCATGCTCCACGGCCCAGTGTCGTTGGCGGAGTGCCCAACATGGGCAGAAAGATGGAGTATGCTCCGTCTGAAGCTGGTGACAGCAGTGACGCATCTGGCAACTGTGTCTGAAGACGTGAGGTGAGAAGATGCTGCGACGTTGTCCGCAAACAGGCATGCAGGCATGAATCAGAATTCAAACTCCCAAGCCTCCAGGCACAATAAGATGACCAATGCCGCCACGATCAAGAGATCGACTCACTGCTTTCAGGGCGTCCTGGTCAGAATCTATTAACCTGTGTAGCTGCTACGGGACCAATGCATGCTTCCTTGCAAATGGCCTGGTACAGACTTTTTGGTCGTTCAGGCCGAGCGCTTCGGAGCATGCAGGTGTGGAATGGGAACGGCGAAAGGTCCATCAAAGGAGGGTTGAAAACGAACCTTGGTTGAGTCCAAATACCAGGTGTCTCGATCTATTGCTTGGTGAAGACTTCTCTTCGTAGATTTGGATGCCCATCGTAGCAAGTGGCACGTTCTCAGGGTCCTGTGCCACCCGTTTGAAGGTGCTGTGCATCACCTTGGGGCAGCAACTCTTTCAAAACACTGGCTGCCCTGCTGCTACGGAAATACAAAGCTCAGCCTGGGGACCAGCATCTCCTGGGAAGGAGTACGGACTCGATAAAGAGCCGGGTCTGTGCGAGGTGCTTCTGAGGAGCTCCTTCCACTCCTTGGCTAGAGCTCTTCCGCGCTGTCATCTAAGCCCGCCTCTCAACAAAGGCTGGTAATGTCATACTAAAAGACCTTTTCGGTCATGAGCGAAGATATGCCAACCAACAAGGCGAGGTGAAACAAGCATACCTTCAAGAATCGCTTGATTACGTAGGACCCTAGGTGGGTTTATCGAGAACCGCTTGCTTCAGTAATGGAAGAACACAAAGGGCCCAGTTTTGCAGTCTAAGGTTGGCACTGTGCGGTGGACTCGATTGGGATTTTGACATTTCATGTCAACAGGAGTTGGAGAAACTAGAACCTTCTTTCTTCCAGTGATTTGACTGCATTCTATCACGAAGAATTCGATCTCCTTCTAGTCACTTACAGTGATGAGTGATGACTCTAAGGTGGCCCACATGCTTTGCCCGGCCCAAATTGAACTTCAGAAGAAGCAGACGCCTCTACTCCCTCGAGCGAGATGATCCTGGCATATCCTGGCAGTGTGTTTTGTTGCAAGCGAAAGTCAAGGCCAGAAGTGCGGCAAGCACGGCGTGCCCGCAATGGGGCCGCTTGAGCTCTGCGATTGGTCGCTTTCGCACCGCCTTGCTGCCGCAGAAACTCATGCGAAGTCCACCCTCAGGTTTGTGACGGTCTATCCCACGTGGCCTCCACTGTTTGCAATAAACGCTGCATCAGGTCCGCATTGTACCTTGGAGGAAGACCGTGAGCGCAGCAGTCACATGCCAAGCCACCGCTTCTGGACCAATTCTTGCAGTACTTGTGCTTTGCCTTCTTAAGCGCTGCCGACAGTACAGGCAAGGCAAGTTGGTCTCGCAATGCTTGCAAAGCGCCTCTCGCAACGAAGCCAAAGCAAGTAAAGCGAGGAGGTTGGCTGGGAAGCTTCTTTGTTTCTATGGTAAAACAGCTGTCTGCGGCCTGCAGCAGCGGGGCCTCTTGACTGCAATCAATCGCAGCCAACGCCTGCCTCAGAAGTGGACGCTCGCTTTACAAAGTCTAGAATTTATCTGGACGTGTGTGCAGATATGTCCGGAGCAAAGTCTTTTTTTGTTTCATGACATCCCTGGTTCATGGCGAGTGGCTCATCGCAGCGGAGGCTGGGTGCCAACTCCTTGAGCTTGGAAAGATCTTGCGCCTTCACGGCTCCCTTTTGCTATCGCATGTCACCGGTCACGATCAGGCAAATTGTTGCAATGGTTTTGTTATAGGACTTGCTCACCATCTTCGTATCTCTGTGGCTTTCCCTTTCGCCGGGATGCTGAAAATGCAGAAACTACTAGAATTACTCGAACTAGTGAACTACTAGAACTCGACGCAAAAGAGGACTTGCAGAGCCTCCTGCAGCTGTCTAAGAGGTCCAGGAAACTTCCTTGACTGCACAGGTGCTGGACCACGACAGAGGCTGGCAGATCAGTGCTGCTGAGACGCCATGGCGGCCACGGTGGCTGGAGATGCAAATGTGCAGGAAGAGATGTGGACCTTTTCTGAAAAGCATGTCGCAGTTTTGCCAGCGGCAGGGATCCACACAATCAGAGCGGTCAGTAGGGAAACTGGGAGGAGGGCCAGTGATCCAATACCGCCTTTCCTCTCAGATTGATGCGCAAGCTGGGTCTTGCCACAGCGCTCCTTTTGCAGAAGATTACGGCCCAAACTGACCTATGGCGAATTTGACGTCCTGTTTGAAGGTCCCAAGCCAAAACGAGGAAGTGGGATGATCCATCTGGCTTGAACCGAACAATCTGGTCCTCAAACTCAGATGCTCCTGGCATAGGTGTGGTGTGTCTCAGGGTTTGAAGGAGCCTGCACCATGCGACGGCCAGTCCTGTTCCATATAGAGCCAGCATCGACACCGCGAACCCTTCCGAGCATGCTCTCGCATTGTCTTCGTCAAAATGTGCCAGCGCCTGCCATGACTGTGATATCTTCAATCTGCAATAGCTTGGCAGGATGCAATGGCTGAAAATGCAGCGGATCACGGTTAGCCTGGAGAACGGCCTGGCGTGCCAGTGAGCGCGGCACCTCGTTGCACAGCAGGCCCAGATACCTCCACACATCTTCTCATCTCAGGCTTTTTCAGGACAGGATAGCCAAGCACGCCCAGCAGATCAGCCAGGTGGCGTCTGCCAATCGAAGCCACGCAAACGTCCCTTGCGGCAGCCGGGAGGAAGTGGACCGCCTTGGCACTCGCCTTGTGCCGGCAGCTCCTGTGCAGCTACTGCTCTCTTCTCCAATTTCTGCAAGCAGTCAGCCTGTGCAGTCTGTGTAACTACTACGGAAACTGTGCCGGCCGCATCCCTCTGACCGACATGTGCGGCAGCTGCTTTTTACGAAAGTTCAAGTGCAATTTAGGTGCTTGTTGCAGGAAGTCCTTGCAATCTACATCAGAAGGATACCTTGACCATTCCTTGTCAGCACACTCACAGCCACGCTGGTTTGCGGGGAACACCATGCGACGCTTCGCCCACCCACCCTTTCAGAGCCCGCTCCTCAGAATCTGCCGCCAATCGCAGGATGAACGTGAGCACGACAGCAAATGCCTGATTGAAAGATTCGACAGGCGCACATGTGCTTGAGCAAGAAGACGTACGGAAGAAAGTACATACACCGACTCTGAATGTGCAAGCAGATAGACTGCCACTTGCCACGAAGATCCACGAAGCCGCTATAAACTCCACGTCTAGACTGTGGCCTTCGCAGCCGTCGAGCTAATCATGCTGCAACATGGCTGGGCAGCAAAGCAGCACTGGCCCTCTGAGCAGTTTACATCCAGCGCTGAGAGCAGAGAAAGCCAATGCTGCGGTCAATCAAGGCCATTCGCAGTACTTACTTCTGCCCGCTTTTAGCCAAAGGTGCTTGTGCATGCTCGCTATTGCTTGGATGCTCGAGTGGTACAAGTATCGGTGACTGACTTGGGGTCACGTGCAAAGGAAGGCCAACTGTGCAATGTATATCCAGGCGACACCGTGACGCCAAACGAGGCGCCCCACTGCCACCTTCACGCAAAAAGTCTGAGCATGGCCAGCATCTTGCAACGGCGATCCTCCCGAAGATTCTGATGCAGGCCCGCACCCGCTCTGCAACAGCTGCTGCTAAAGCAAGTGCGTGCACCTTGGGACAGCAACAAATCTTCAATCCGACTTGCACGGCAGAATTCCGGGGCTGGCACAGTCCATAGCAGGACTACTGGGATGTTCGACCTGCGTGGGGCTTTCCAGTACGTCAGCAACGTCTGGCGAAGGCGAGGCAAGGTCATGACATCACCTTTTCAGTCCACCCAAACTGCTGGCTTTCCTGACGCTGCCGCACGCTCTACCCCTGACGTGCTCAGCTGTGGCTGTTGGGCACTGCTTGGCGGTGTCTGACCTGCATCTCGATCAACCCCATTCCGCCAAGCAGAACAGCAGAGCAGCAGACCTCTCTGCAAATGGCCAAGTCCATCAGGCAGTCTTGCAGGGTTGAAGCTGGAGCGCTCGAACTCCTGTCTTACCACATATCTGTGTGAACGTGACAGCAAAGCTCAAATGCTGATACCTCCCAGATGCCCGCAGCAACCAGGAAGCTTTGCAAAGCGCCGATCGCCTGGCCGAGACTTCGGAGCCCACAGATGCACAGACGCGCACAGATGGCCTGGGCCGCTGCAGAAGGATCGCAGCTAACCTCGCGGGGTGGGAAAGGCTAAAGGCCTGCTGGATGTTTTTGCTAGTGCAGTACTTGCTGGGAACACAGCGCCCAGCTAAAATGAGTGTCAGTTGAAATGTGTCCAAATCTTGCAGCCGCTAGCCAAACTTTAAAAGTTTATAGCCCAGATGCTTGACTCAACGAGCAGCCTTTCCTTGGGGAGCAATTCAGTGTCAGTTTCCGTGTTTCAAGTTGTGCTGTTGCAGCTGAGCCACTGAGGACCGAATAGAAGCACGGATGCAGCCCCTCTGGTTGGCTCCGCGGCCACTCCTGCAGAGATCAAGCACCCTCACATGGCAATCGCGTGCTGGTAGCTGCAACTCATCTTTGGATGCACCGACAGGGAGTTGCATCTTGCTTCGCTTGCCAACATCTGCCAAGCTGCTTGTCATCTCGCTGTTTGGAGCCATGCTTGAACTGGTCGCCGGAGTATGGGAACTCTCTGCAGAAGCCCCGCATCCTTCAACTTGATTCGGACTATTGTGCTTCAGGCATGCCAGACTGTGACATCTTTACAGCACATGTCTGCCAGATGACGATTCTGACAAGATGTAGGCGGACATCTCTCAGACACAAGGTCAACAAACCTGCATGCATAGCGGCATAGCGATCATGCCTACTTTTGCCACCAAGCAGCTTGCACGCTTGGCTTCTCTTTCTGGCTCGTCTGGCCGCAGCACTCCTCGTGGCCAGGGCTTGTTATCAGGCTCAGAAGAATTGCCTCTGTCCACTTGATCCAGCCTGCGGGACGCCGGGACCAGCGCCTGGAATCCATACCAATGCGGCCTCTGCAATCGACCATGGGCAAGCTGGCTTCAGAGATTCTGCCGGCAAAGCAGCCAATCCAACCCTAAACTGAAGTGCAAGGTTGGGCCCAGCATTTCTTCATAGCGTATCAGGAAGTATTCGTTGATGCGCACAGTGTTATGCTTCATCTCTACTCTACTGGCGGCCTGCGGCCCCCTCATTCGCGAGCGTGTCAGCCAGCTCCTTTGTGCTTACGGATACAGATGGCATGGGGGTTCTGAGATGCCTTTTTGAGCAGTACCTACAGCGGCCATGCAGGGTAATAATAAATCACTGTAATGCACTCTTTTTGGTAAACACGAGCTCTCCAGAAAATCAGTCCAACTCTTCATGACTTGTATGAGCATCCCATGTCACGTAGCCAAGATTGGCAAATCCTGCCGGGTGGCGTTTCCAATATCGCCGGTGTGGCCCTTGATCCACTCCAGCTGCACACTTCTTCTGGTAGACACGTCCTGCAAATGGAGGGCCACACGTTCTCCCAGCATGCTTAAAAGAGAGAAGAACCGCTCCTGCCAAAGACTCTGGACTGTTGCTACCAAATCTTCATTCGTGTGCGCGCGGTTTTCACCCGTCATCGCCTGCACTGTGGCTTGGAAAGTATGGACACACTCAGCCATCCTAATATGTTTATCTTGTCACGTTGGTTCTTCAACGGCTGTTTGGTTTGGCTGCCTTCTTGGCATACTGTGAGTCGTAGTGGAGCACTGCGGGCCTCGCCAACTGTCTCGCAATCATGAGAAGCTGCGTGACAGGTTTGCCCCCTGCCTGTCTTTGGGCCCCGGTGCTTCATCCCGAAGCCACAAAAGCGCCTGCTGTTGCAGCAAGCAGCCAAGTTGCAGGCATGTTCTTTCACAAATCCGTTCGGGAGAAATTTCGTTGCCTTTTGCTGGACACGATCCACTTTTCTCTTTCCTGTCGGAGCCTTTTTGAGTTGTGGAGCGCTTCGTTTTGTTTTCAAAATTCTTTGCCAACGAGCAGCTGCCTTCTTACGTTTTGCTTCGCGTCAGGCTGTGTAGTGGCTCTGTGCTGCGGAATCATTAGATTATGTTGTACACCCCCCATTCATGCTTCTGCGCGATGGTCTGCCAACACCCTGCCTCTCCAAAGGCCGTCAGCTCTGCCGTATTGTTGGAACAAACCTTCCAGTGCGTCTGTTAGGCAACCATGCGCTGTTTCCAAGCAATAACGTACTTACTCCAGTATACCTTGAACTATTGAGTGCAAGGACTTCTTCATGCAAACTTTCAGCACAACTAACTTGCTTGGCTGCGACAGCCAGACTCAGCTAGACTTACTGAACGGCTCTCCTTGTGGGCTTCTTTGTACCCTAAGTGCCTCTGCACCGAGGCTGAGCGGCGAGCTGCGATTCACCTGGTCAGCTATGGTCAGCTTGTCCGCAGGCCGACACTCAGCCGCTTCGCTCGGCCTCCACGGGCCCAAAGAGGCGGAAGACCTCCCTCTGGCCAAAACGTGGCCTAGCAGCGGCCGGATGTTGAACGAACATGAAGCATGAGCAACACATCTGGAAAGGCTTAAGAGCCCTGCACGGAGTTGTAGACTGCCACGCCCCAACCAGCAGAATGCTGGACTTCGCGGACGTTTTCTCAGCGTGGAGGAGGTGGGTCTACTTAGAAGGGAGGTCAAGTCTCAAACATGTGAATCTCTGAATTGCGCACATTCAGTAGTCAAGCTGCTGTTTGTTGGGCAGGCCCCATCCAGGTAGAGGTGCCATGCTTCACCTGGATGAATTACTAATGAAGCCCAGACTATCTCGACCGAAGACTTGTTGTGTTGCTGGGCACTGCCAGCTTCAATCACACCTTTTGGCTGGCCTTGCGTTACAGACCCCGTGTCCGGGATAGCTGGCTCCACTGGCAGAATGTTCGGCACCTGCAAAACACGCAGAGTTCCTCAACCGAGATCGCCAAAGAACCACAACTTGTCCAATCTACACCACAAGGGGTTGCGGAGCCTCCATAAGGCGCTGTTGTGCCAGGACCTGCACTACAGAGCATCACATGCAATCAAATTGTAGAGGCGTGCAGTCGATGAGGCTGCCGGGCAGAATCTGGACCAGCATTTGCTGCTGTCAGGCACTGGACAGCAAAGAGGAATTCGAAGCTGAGATGCCTACGAAAGAATTCTTACATCTTCTCCGCAGTGAATACTAACAAGGTTTGGATATGCTTGGAATGGGCCGTGCAGCATAAAATTGCATCCTGGAGCTCAGAACCCATTCCTCACCTTACAGGCGTGCCAGGCCTGCTGCATGCTGCGCAGGGGCTGTCGTGAAGCGGCCTGCAATTGCCATCCAGCGCCCAGCCACTCTTCTTAAGAACCCTTTCAACATACGTCAATATGGATCATCTTCTGCTACTGCCATCTGTATTGCTAGGTGCCGCAGCTGCTAATACTTGGCACCTGAGGTGCTGGTTCCCCACTCTCGACGTGAAGTTGTCAGATAATAAGATGACATCATCTCCTCGCTTGGTTACCTGCCCTCTTGCATTAAGTGCCTGACATCATTCCTGCAGTGCTCCACGCCTAGAGTGTCCCTATACTGCCAAACTACAGCGCATCCGCCTGAACCGATGTGTCACTCCAGTGCCCAACCCCAGAGTTTCCGGACGTGCCCAACCGCATAATTGTCTACAGGGCCCAACCCAGCATTCAAATATTGCAGACCAGCTGTTAGGCTCGGGATGCACGAAGCAAATCATTTGACCGATGCGACTTTGCTGCTTTGGGGTTCCGCTACGGCTCCAGGTGCGCAGTGCGAAAGCGGACACCCGCCTGCCTCGATCGCAGACTTCAGCTTCTCTTCCAGCAGTGCTGCATCTGCACCCTGCCAAACTTTCTTGTAACGTGTTTATGTCCCAAGAAAGTTAGCTGACTGCCCAGGGATGCCAAGCCTGTACAAGGATGATGCCCTTGCTGGCATAATGGCTCACCTCATTCATCAATGGATGATTGTGCCAGCGTCATCCACTCGGTGAGAAGCCATACCATCTACTGCAGACGTTGGGATAGAACTAATACACACCAGCGCGCGATTTACACACCAGAAAATGATTATCGCTACGTGGGCGCTGCTTCCAGCTCACTCCCAGGAAAATAAGGAATTGCCCGTTGGGCTGTGGACGGTGAGGGTTGGAAACATCCTGCAGGGATTTCAAGCTATTTTGCCTGTGCTTCCGGATAGGTGAGCACACGGCATGGGTATATGAGTACGTTCCTGACAAGAAGCTGACCAGAACCTTTTTGCATAAGAGACACATACTGAGAGATGTACGGCCAACGCCCACACCTTTACCGTCACTGAATGAACATGGAAAATTGCATACGCATTGATATAATTACTCGTACAAGGGCTGAAGCTCTAAACAAGCTAAGCGATGTCCAGAAACAACATATGCTGTAATGCATGAATCTAGCCTAGTTCTCTTGGTGGACGCTGATCGGCTCGTGAAACCATCACCAGGCACCAGATAGCCCAACCCTCGAGTGACATCCTGCAGTATCTTGCAAGCAGTATCTTGCAGTCAGGTGGCAGAAGCCTTCCAGCCTGAGCCCAGAAACTGCCAGCTGTGACTGAAACAATTTATTCTTCGTGGATTCTCTGTAAACAGTCGAACGCATGATCCCCGCTTGGTCAAGCAGCCTTTGCACTGATGCTGTCGCTGTGTATTCGGCAGCTCCTTCCAGTGAG